GTACAAAAAAAATCAACTCCATCTCCACTGATATTTAGCAGAGAGATATTATACTATATGCTATAATTTCTTTGTGTTTCCTGCTCATGTAACAATATGCAAAACAACAATACCTCAGATGCACTTTCAGCATAAAACTGAAAGGCGGTAACTCCTACTGGTAGCAGATGACTCAGTGTTTACGTGTATGCATTGATCGTTGCCAATAGGTACCGATGTGTTACACGCTTTCAGTGTGTACTCAAGCGTCAGCAACTTTTATTGACTTTTTAAACAATATGACCCATGTTTAGACATTATCTGTGCAGTCTGTTTCAGCTTTAGTAAAAATGTCTTTTTCGGTCATAAACTGCACGTAATATTTCTGTTATTTTCTGAAATTCATAAAGACCTTTATACAGACCAAGTATCCATGATTCCAGTGTAGGTTGACTTTTGAGTTGGCATACAACTGTCCAAAAGGGCAGTTTCACACTGAGTTATCAAACCTACAGGGACATGTCATGTGCTAAGGTTATTTCCCCATTCACAGAAACTGAATGAGAGGAGGCTGTTGTTGATGTTTTTTTTTTGTTTTTTTTTAAAAGAAGGTCAAATTAAAAGGAATAAGATACGTCAAGGCATTGGTGTAACTTTGTGCTGAACATTGGGGGGGTCAAGATCTCTGTCTAAATAAATTAGGGTAAATTCCCAGATGATTAAGCATGCAACTATTTTGCTGGTAATAACTGAAATGAGTAAAGAAAATTAACAGCCTGGGGGGGGGCAACATAACTCATAATATTTTTTTTGGGGGGGGTCGTAACATAATTAAGAATTATGCCCCTGCATCAAGGAAAAAGGCTTCACTCAAAAATGAACTTACTTTCTTTGATCACTAATTCCCTGTAATTATTTATGTCTCGCTTAAAGATATTTTTTCACAGTCTTCTCTCACATTATTGCAGCTGGTTCTGCACTGGTACTATTTTTCATGTAGCTGATCAAAAGCTTGAATCAATGTGATCATTTACAGCAAGTTTCAATAATTTCAGTTGATGTTGGGTGTGGCTTTTGAATCTAGTTTTGTGTACATTCGAGCAGTGGTTTGACATCTTCTGTGCACTTTTTTTTTCTTTGAAAAGGGAGGAGTGAAAACGGAAATGATCTGATGCATTGGTGCTCGAGGAGATGAGGCTCCTTCCTTGGCTGATGTAAGGGAGAGGTCTTGCTGTGGTTTTGTGGTGCTTAAAAAAATGGTAATGTGAGTGCCTCGCATTATGAAGTTTATAGCTTCTGATTTAGTTGCTCAAAAATAAAAAGTACTCACATTTTTCAGTAATGCAAAAAAAAGAAAGAAGAAGGTTCGCTTCTCGTTTCCTTGCTGGTGAGGTCACCATATAATCTCTAGTCTGAGGTTTGACAAGTGACAAGTATTTTACTGAAGAAGGAAGACACTCGAGAGGGTGTTGTCATTTTCCGGAGAGCACATTTTGTGTAGATATTGATGAACTGTTAACCCTGGCTCTAAACGGTATTATCTTGCATGAAATTATAATGATGTTTCCATTCAAGGTTTGTCATATGAAGCAGACATGGTGTGAATTTTGACTTGTTTTTAGAATAATCATGGTATGCTGTTCCAATCAATGTCATTTTTGAGAAAAGGCGAATAGTTTTAGTTGGAATAGTTGCATGGATTTATATTTGCTGTGTAAAGTGTTTGTTTTTTACTATATAAAAAATAACTCTCTAATTGCTCCCCACCTTCTATAAAAACACAAAATCATTATTTTTATATACACTAAATTTGTATGTATGCTAAATATTTGCTTGAAAGGTTAAAACCCATGTAAAACGGCACTGATTAACACTGATCCTGCGTTTGTAATTTAATGTTTTGTTGGGAAAGCCTATGTTAAAGTACCATCCTAAACTTTGTGTCAATATTATTGATAATAGCAGGCAGGTGCTTTCCTCTGTGGTATAAGCCAGACTCATGGAAGCCACACCCTACAACTCATGGGTCTCAAAGGATTTGATACCAACATCCAGATGTTCAGTGGCAGGACAACCTCAGGGGTTGACAGGTCAAAGAATCTTCAGTGGCTTTAAGTAGATGTGCCCACTTCCAGACTAGTGGTTTTAATGAGTGTGGTTAAAATGTATATCTAGACACTTAATGCTGTAAATCATCTAGCACATACACCACAATGCCAGACATTATAGAAAATTAAAAATGAGAACATTGTAGGACAAACTGAACTATTTAGATGTAAAAATCTGGAGAACTTGAGCCTTGAATAAGTAAAACTCTTAACTCATATATGTTACTGGCTAAGATATGTCAGATTAACATGACTGTTTACAATATAGTGTCTTTGTTTCACTTTTGTAGATATGTATTTTTTTTCTTAGCATTACTGAAGAAAAAACAAATCAAAAATCTTATAGCTAACTCTATTTTTTCATTAAAAAAAGGTAAAGAATAAGCCAGGATTAAGATAGTCTAAGCATCATGGTTTGATATTTTGCGCAACATATAATCTAAAAGATCGTAATACTTGAAGTTTTATCTTTACTAACTTGTTGTGAGACTGTTGAAAGAATGGTGAAACAGTTCCTTTCCGGTCCTGTGGCCTCCGTCATGTAAATGCATTGCTCAACTTCCCATTTCACCCTGCTGTTGTGCATGCATTTATCAAGCAGTTTCTGGCTTGAATTTTTCTAATCAAACCATGAAGAATTTGGCAACTTGTTGACAGGATTGTCATTGTTTTTATCACTAAAGTAAATTTTTAAGTAACTGATGGTATTTGTGCAAATTTGACTGGAGAAAATGACAGACCATTAGACTCTGACTGAGGGTCTAACGGTCTTTCTAACGTTCAGCTCTTTCTTCTCACTTGACAAATAGCTTTATATATATTATAGATATACCTAGAGAGTATAAGAAATGAAGTAAAGTACATATTGGAGTCTATATTAGAGAAAAGTAAATTTCCAAAGAGTGAAAGACCAGTCACTTTCAAACTTGGGTTATTACTTTAACAATGTAACAATGTAAAATGAAAGCTGATTTGATACGTGTTTTTTGTGATCCTCTTAATCACTTACTTACTTGCGCAATCGCCCTTACATATACAAACCAAAACTTTGTGCAAAATCTGCCTGATTTCAAATCCAGTAAGGGTGTATGGCGTGTCATGCTCTCACTCACCAGAACTGTGTTGAAGCGCTCCTCCAGCTCCTTCTCTGGTGGCATGGGAAGTTTGGGTTGAGGAGGCTGCTTTTTTTGCAAGGTTGGTGCAGAGTCATTCATTGCTGAAGCTGCACTGACTGAGTTTCTGGCCTCTCGACCTTCGGCCGGTTCATGCTCCAATCCCCCACCAGCCGCATTCCCCATCACTAATCTCCACAAGTAATCCAGGGGGACTGATTTACGCAAACTGTTTCCTCCAGGAAATCACCGTATCCACAAGCAAAGTGACAAAAGATGGTCACTTTGAATTACAATAGCAAAAAGGCCTAATCAAACCAAGTCTAGGGCCTCTAGGGCAGTCTACATTAATTCTCAGCTTTACAAAATCCACCTCACACCCGAGGACAGGGTGGGCAATGAAAAAAGAAAGTTTATCCTCATGGCCCCCTTCTCCTTAAGTTGTCTTCAAGTTCCTTTTGAAAATGAGGTGATAAGTCCTGTTAAGGCCTGTTAGAAAGAAAAGTCCACCTATGCCTCGTGCACTGTCGTCTACATTAGTTGACCGAGAACTCCCTTAAATAGTTTAGTACCGAAGCCTGCGCGTGAGAGGAAGGCGGGCGAGGAGTGTGACACAGTCAGAAACCACAGAAGCACAAAAGCAGAAGAGTAACTTCCTGTGCACGACAGCTATAGAACCTGGGGCGGAGGACATGGTGGAAGATAAACACGTAACCATGCAGTAGGTGGGTGATGATAAAGAAAAGATACTACAGGAATGAAGGAGAGCAGACTCTGTCCAGTTTTGTAAGATTAACAGATGTCGATTTAGATGTAAATCAACTACACATTTAAAGGAAACTTTGCAACATTTCACACTGAAACCACCTTTTTGTACTAGATTTAGTCATTTTACTGATGTCAGCTTGACATGAGTCAAAGGTTACATTTGTTTTGGTATTTTCCCTTCATGTGGTGGTTTAATCCAGACAGGTAACGGTGGTTTCAGCATGACAAGAATTGTCAAACAACACCCCTCTGTGGGTGAAGATGACTACTGCATCTAGTGAGATCTATCCAGTGGGAATTACTTAAATTACTGAGCCTTTCGTTGGCTCAGTAATTTAAGAGGTTTTTGTGTATACAAATGATTTCTATTGAGGAAAAGAATAATAAGTTTATCACAGATGCATTTCTTCGAGAAAGTGAAAATTATTAGCTCTGATGCAACAGGATATTCATTTTCAAAGCTTTCTGAGACTCACAGGAAGGCAACCGTGTTATCAGCTGAGTGAAAAGAAAAGATCAAAAGAGAAGATTGGAGAGGTGTTTAGACATCAGGGAAATGCTGGGGAAAAATCATCAAAAGGATAAAGCTAATCATTTACTTACAGGTGTAACGGTGGAGCACAGGTATTGAAGTAAAGTGAGTTTAAATACTTGGTGTTTTTCATGTAAAGCAACAGTAGGTACACAAGATACCTGAAGAAGAGGATTGACGCAAGTTTCAGGGGTGATTTGTGACAGGAAGATAGCTGCAAAAATGAGATAGGAAATGTTATCGCTAAAAAAAGAGATAAGCAGACCTGGAGGTGGCAGAGTTGAAGATGCTAAGATTTTCACTGGCCATGATGAACAAGATTAGAGAGCAGTTGAAAGAAAGCAGATTTATTTAAGTGTTTAAAAGACAAAGAACTGATAAAAAATATTATTTTAGTTTTCCTCTCTTACTATATACTCCTTCTGTTTGTTTGGTTTTTCTTTTCAATACAGTCTTTCTGTGACATAAAACCTACATTTTATGCGGTCAGTCACTGCAGTATTACTTTCAAACCATGGGGTGGCGTTTTCAAGAACAGTTACAATTCACTACCATGGTGCACAGAAGAAGAAATCCGTCGCATTCCAAAATGACGGACCCGACAACATCTCCAGAGGACCAGTGGAAAGTGAGTAACTGCTATCAGAAACCTCTTTTTTGGTTTCAAATGACTCATGTGTTAGGCGTATGGCAGCACTGGCAAATGGCAAAAGCTGTGCTGTCTTAAAGTTGAAGCTTTAGTAAAGTGCAGGGAGTACACGGTTTGTTAGCTCCGTGGCTAACTAACGTTAGCTTCCGAGGTTTTGATAACGTTAGAAAGCTGTATTGGTTAGCTAACCAATTGCCTACTTATGTAAACAAATCAGCCATTGTTCCCCCTATGGTGTATACAACATGTCTTCACCTACACACGCAAAGTTAAATTAAAGAAAAAAGGTCTGAGTAGCTGCTTGTTTCTTGCAAATCTACAGTGCAGCATCAGTGTTTGTGAAGCTCACATTACCTTGTCTGATAGGCTACTATATACTGTATATAATTAATTACCAGACCACAGAAATTGAAATTGTCTTCGTTCCACCGATTCCTTAATATGGAGTCTGTGGAAATAAAATAAAGAAAATAAATAATTAAAAATAATTAACATGTGTTCAGGGCCCCCATTTAAAAAAAATGTCTCTAAAATAAATTGGGTATAGTAATTTTACAGTACGTAAGTAAACATCTATTGTTTAAACTTAACATATATTCATTCCCCCCCCCCCTCCTGAGCTTTTGAAACTTTGGAAACCACAAATTAGACAGCTGTGCCCTACATCAAACAATAGTTCTGTGATGAAGGCTCTTATTTTCTACAGCTTTTTACCCACCTGTTTTCCTGAATTGGACAAATCAGGGCAATGCTCAGTGGGGGCTTAACTGGTTGGCTATTGCTCTTTTGTCAAACAAATGTAGGGCAGCACAGCGTTTTCCCTTGTCATTAGCTGCACAGCCTCTTATTTTTTTTGCCTTTTTCTATCTTCTGCTCTCTCGTGATGGCTCGGCAGACATCTGATGGTGCTTTCAGCGATGGTGGCTTTGACAACAGTGAGTATTCAGTCAGTTCTTGTGTTGTACTTCATCACCAGTGTAATCTGATCTCTCACATGATACCGATTATAGATGTATATCAAAATATGTTTTGATTTTGTTGTGAGTTATGTTTGATCACTGCTGTCTTGTTGTCTAGGTTATATCTCTGAAGCAATCAGAAAGGGTACTGTAGTGTCCCGGGCCAACAGTATCGGCTCAACAAGTGCCTCTTCAGTGCCAAACACAGGTACTGGGTTTGAATGTTGTATATTTATGTGATAGTTTGATACTAGTAATGTAATTGTAGTGTAGGTTAATTGTTTACTTGTTTGGTTGTTGTAGCCTGAGCCAGTCAGATATTTTTGTTTATTTAGTGTAAAAGCGAAATACAATGAGACATAGAGACAGCTTTGCTTATATTTCTCAATGATTTGTACAAAAGGAAAAATCTCTCTTGCTTGTGATTAATAAAAAATATATATTAAGCTTAGCTCTAAAGCTTTTATTTTTATTTATTCCAGAAGTTAGAAAATGTATATGTTACAGTAACAAAACAGTATGGCCCTGAAATATGTCTTAAAAAACAAAAACGCAGTTTGAATAAATATAAATAAAGATCTAAATATTTTTTTTGTATTGCTATTCTAGCAGTTAATTTTCATATTTATTTCACTCTATTTTGCTGTACAGTGTTTTGTGACTGCTTTATACATACAATTTTCTTACTTCCCAAACACAAGGATTGCTGTGTGAGGTAGAAAATATTTCCTGTATCATTCCATGTTTAATTATGGAAACATGTGTTTCGTATTTTACAATATTTTCTTAAATTCTTTGAGGGTTTTATGAGATGTTAAATAATAATTTACTTTGTAAATTAAGTGCATCACAGTAATTCATACTGATGAAAAACAATGAGGTTGCCTATATGTGTGAAATGAGTGCCAACACAGGAATGACTCCAGGGTTAATAATCTTGTACAGTTATGAATTGATTTGATCAACTTTTTAAAAATAGCTACCTCAGCATTTTGTAAGTTGGCTAACAAAAACACTGCTAATGTCATGGTTCAGATTTTTATTTGTTCATTAATGAGTATTAATCTATTCCCACATAGATGATGAAGACAGCGACTACAGGCATGAAACATATAAGGACTCGTATAAAGATCGTCGGAGACAAGCACACACACAAGCTGAGCAGAAGCGTAGAGATGCTATTAAAGTAAGGACACACATCTTGAAAGTTGGAGATTTGCTTTAACTTTTTTCAGTAGTTACTAGTTGCTCTCTTTTAACATTAGAAAGGATATGATGACCTCCAGTCAATCGTTCCAACCTGCCAGCAGCAGTCTGAATTTGCGGTGGGAGCACAGAAGATCAGCAAGGCTACTATTCTGCAAAAAAGTAAGATGTGGTCAAACATAACCTTTGTTAACATTTGAACAAACTTGGACTGTCTCTGCTGAGTAACCTTGACTTCAGATTTAGTTTGAGATAATCTATATATTAATTAATACATCTGACATCTTGATAAGAAAAGAGCACTTTTCTATCCTAGTTTATGTTTATGTGCTATGGAAAAAAATAGTGCTTTGTACTGACCTTGTTTTGTATGGCGCTAGCTTTCATTCAGTTACATCTCACTTGGCCACATTTAACAATAAAAAGAGACGATAGACTAAGTTCAAGGAAGAACAGATACTTCCTGTCTTGCAGGGGCTCCTTTACCCAACAAAAGGGGAAGTAACAGTACCAACACCCTCAGTATAAAGGTTAACTTTCAACAGTGTACCTAAAACTTGTGTATAAGGCAAAAATCCCCAACTGACGATTTCTTGGTTGTTGTTGTGTTTTGTTTTGTTTTTAGCAATTGACTACATCCATTTCCTTCACAAAGAAAAGAAGAAGCAAGAGGAGGAAGTTTCTGTCCTAAGAAAAGAAGTGATGGCGCTTAAGATTATGAAAACGTGAGTGGTTTAAAATTTATAAGCCAAACTGCTTTTTCCACATTGTGTACTTCACAGGTCTTCTTTTTTTGACGATCTGAGACTTCCCTAAATCCTCTCAACATACCTGCACTGTGTGCAAGTCACATCTTTTCTCCATCCAGACCGATGGAAAGACAGATTGTAAAAAGAATGCTGGTCTGGGGGCAAAGAAAGAAAACTATGGAGTAGGGAATGCATTGATGTGTGCTTTTATCCATGTTCTCAAAAGAATGACTCAAATTCATTGTTTATGAAATTATATTAACCCCCCCCCTTTTTTTTTTTTAAATGTTTTAATAGGAACTATGAGCACATAGTGAAGGCTCACCAAAACAACCCACAGCAGGGAGAGGATCAGGTGTCGGACCAGGTCAAGTTCAACATCTTTCAGAGCATCATGGACTCCCTGTTTCAATCTTTCAGCAACTCTGTTTCAGTGAGCAGCTTCCAAGAACTTTCGGCCTGTGTATTCAGTTGGATTGAGGAACACTGCAAGCCACAGGTAAGGAGTATGTTTAAAAAAAACCCATGAGAACTTTATTATTTTGTGTTTATGTTGAGGTATTTATAGTTTGTTTTCTGCTTATGTTCTTTCCTAGACGCTGCGGGAGTTTGTTGTTGGAGTGCTGCGGCAGCTCAACAGTCAGCTTTACTGACTGCACCTGGCCTCTGGTTAACTCCCAAAAATGGACTTTTTGAGCTTACTCTGGCCTCTAAGAGTAAAAAAATGTTGATCAGCCTCAAGCTATGTCACAGTATTTATACTCACTTTGACTCATCAGTGACTCCCTGGCTGCAATTTGATTACCTCATCACATGTGGCAGAGGTGAAAGGTGGCATTGGAATGAGCAGATATAAGTTTAATGCAAATCACTTTAAGCTTTGAAATGTACATACATGTTTAACTGAGTGTATTTCAGGATCTTCTGATTGTTATTTGATTTGGGAACCCAGCAGTACAGAAGTCACTGAAAGTGCAGTTTTCAATGTGTCAGGCAGGCAAAATATTGTGTTGAACTAATGGTAATCACCATCTGCAGTAGCCATAGTTGCCCACACTGAGATAAAAAACATGAGGGGAGATTAGATCTTAATAGCGAGAACTCTTCTTACAGATTGAGTGAACTGATGGTAAAGTTTATGGTGCATTTTAAAATAATTAACAGAGAGAAAAGAGGGGAAGGGAACTCATGAGCCAACACGTTCCCCTCTGTCACATCAAGCATGACTTTGTAGCTTAATGCTGAACCAAAGGAACTGTTTCAGCTTCAGTGGACGAACACTGAGCCACTCCTTAGCTGTAGCAGATAATGGAAACTTCTGCAGAGTAGGGCTGCCACAAACGATTATTTTGATAGTCGACTAGTCACCGATTATTTTTGCGATTAGTCAACTAATCAGAGCATGCATCCATTGGATGTACAGCATACAGCTTATTGCACCAGCATGCATCTGCTCTTATATAACTATCATTAGCTTACAGCTTTAAGTGTTTAAGGTATGTGCTAACGAAAAATAAAGACAAGATGATAGTTTATTAAATGTTAATGAAATTTGGAGATTGTTTCGGTGAAGTTTAATAAACTCCTTGCTATCTAAAATATAACAGGACACCGGAGTATATTCTCCAGCTTCTCACACTTCTGATAATCAGCGGTCTGCTTGACGTTTATTCAGCTGTGTAACCTATAACTTTAATCTCAGCCAAACAGATTTACTCAGAAACAAATAAAATACTACAAAAAGCCAAACAATAACATTTTTAAGTTATCAAAGTGACTTATATGTTTAACCTGAGTAGCGAAAGACGGCGGTGGGTTTGAAAACAATTTGCGGGAGTCCGGTGTTCTCACGGACTCTAGTGAGCCTTGCCCCCGGCTAGCTATCGAGCTAGTGGGTAACAGACGTCTCCAAAAACGTCAGAGCGCTTTTGAAAATATGTGGTGTCCTGATAAACTGAGCCGATATTTGAGGTTTACACAGCTACATTCTCGCCTGAAAATATGTTAAACGTTTATTTTGTGACCCAGAAAAAATAATAAGAGTAATATTAAAACTAACTAGCTGCCACCATGGTTGGAAACTGAGCTGGGCCGCGCTATGAATTCTGGGACGGAGCTACTTCTTCTTCTTCGGGGTTTAACGGCAGCTGGCATCCTTGTACATGCAGTGCTGCCATCTTCTGTTTCAGTCCGTTATTACACTCTTAAATTCTACTACTTATTCCTGCGTCTTTTGTGATCTTACAAAGCTTCAAACGACGCGTCGACTATTAAATCAGTCGTCGACGATTCTGATAGTCGACGTAATCGTGACTAGTCGACTAATCATGGCAGCCCTACTGCAGAGTAACAATCAGTGCTAAGTGTGTTATCAGGAAAATGCTATATGAAGTCTCAACAATTTATCACTGAGATTTGGCTTGTAATCCGACACATTTTGAGATGTACATAAATGGAGCTGTGACAAGCTGATAAAGTGCTGAAATATCAAATTATTGTATGTATAAATTTAAATCTCTTTACAGCGTGCCATTTAAAATTTTATAGTTGGCGTATTTCAATTCAATTTGGCTTCAATGGCAGGAAATGTAATGAGTATTCTCTCTCATAATTGAGCTACATCACACTATGAAGCAATGTGTGTGGTGATCTTTCTGCAACTTTCAGATTTTCCTTTAATCAAAAAGCTTAAAATTTCAGCTTCAGTTGGTCCAAATCCAGCAGAATGAATATTGTTTACTTTTGTTATCAGTGGTTCTCAGTGGCTAAGATGCAGTTCATGCCATGTTGTGTATCAGCCAGAACCTGCTTCTTTTTTTTTTCCACCAAAAACTGTCCCTTTGAACTGCAGCAGCCAAGTTCATGCTGTGTATTGAGATTTACAGCTGCTGTGTGCTGAATTATGAGTGAATTTCAAGTAGGTGACAGCTCATTTTAATGAAGGTTTTTTTGTTGTTTCTATAAACATCCTTTCCTGTGTTAGCTGTATTCATGGAAATGTTTTTTTTTTGTAACTGGCTTAAGTTGTTTCAAGTGTATTAATAATTCTATTATACAAGCCATGTACACTCAGTGGCCACTTTTAGTTACCCCCCCTGTAAAATCCAGTCTGAAATCTGAGCCTTAAATTCTGCTTTATAACATTTTTTTCTTTCTTTAAATGTACACCAGCAGATGGGTGTCATCTATGCATTAATGTACAGCTCTGTTAGTGTTGTAGTTTGCTGTGGTGTTGAATGTTGACGTTTTTAATTGACAATCCAAGGAGGTTGAATATTTAATAGGTTTTAAATCTGTACCTCTGAGAGAACACTATGTATTTGATTGTATTTAATTTCATAGGTTTGCCTAATAAAGTGGCCACTGAGGGGTTTTTTTTGTCATCCAAATTATGTGGAAATGGAGCATCTGTGCATAACAATAACAGGAAAAATCATAAAGCTAGGCAGTGGTTCCCAACTGTGCAGCTAATTTCATTTTTTATTTATGCTTCACAAGAATTAAACAAACAATTGTGGCGCTTCAGCATCAGAATTTATGGTCTTGAACATTTAATAAGCAGAAAACAGTACAACTGTAATTCAAAAATATAGATATATACATTATACATTTTAATTTATGCTTTCAGAAAATAAAAGCAAGATGGAGTTGAACAAGAACAACAATGTATAGATTTTAAACATTTAAATAAAGCCTTGACATTTTCACTGGAAAGCTCAGGATTGGTTAAATCTGTTTAAAAGGGACAATTTAAACCAGCGTTGCCTTTGAGGTGAAGAGCATGACTGTGTTAATTGATGTGAAAGTCTTAAGAGTTTCACAAGCAACAAAGCAGTTTTTTATAAAAACATACTTTCAGTTATGAACTTTTTTTCAATTAAAGCATTTATTAAAGTTGAACTATTTATTCAAAAAAAGGGCCATAAATAAAGTATTCTCTGGGCTTCAGATTGCTTTCCTGTGTAATCCATTTGCTTAGATTAGTGGCAAGGTGACTGTAAAAGAACTTTCTTGTTCAAGTATTTGGAAGAACTACTTTACAGTCCTCATCAGTCTCCACTCCAACTTCTTCCTGTGAGGAAGCAGAATATTGCAGGTAAACTTCATTTTATTCTTAAAAATGATTTTTTTTTTTAGTGTCTTAAACTCACCAGGAACTCCTTTTTGCTCTTTGGATAACCCTCGAGGATTGCATTTGTCATGTCTGAAGCCTAACACAAACAAGGTGCCAAACACTTTAATAACATATCCATATGCAGTTTCACTCAGACTAATGAAAGGGATTGTACTGCATTTTTTAAATACATGGCATGCAATACGAAACATGAGCTACGAATACAAAAAGGAACTTAAGTGAAAAAGATTACCAGTCTCTTCCTCTTTTTCCACTCTTTAACGTAGAGATCTCGTTCTTTATAAACCTGCAAATTAAAAATAATAATAATATATATAAGCAGCTGGATAGCGTAGTGGTAAGGTTACACACCTTTGGAGCAGGAGTGGCAAGTTCGATACCCAACATCCACGTTGCAGGTCCAACGTTCGGAAGAAGGGACTGCTCTCACAGAGATTGATGAGGTACAAAAAATGCTATGGCAAGGGGGAGCCAGTACGACAGGTTGGGGGGGAGATATCATTATCACCCCCACCAGAGATTGGGTACCAAGCCCCAAGTGTGCCAGAAGAAGGATTGTTGAGTGCAAGAGATCATGGCAAGCTGGATCCTCCGTTACCAAGACTACGTGAAGTACCCTGAGAGGCTTTACTAGATGATGTGAATGCAGCACTATGCCGCCACCATTACCATTACCGAGACTAACAAGCTGATCTACAGTGAAATGAGATGTTAAACAGCCACATGGGAGCAGTACCCTACTCTGTAGGAAAAAAAACCCAGCCCCATCCAAGGTCAACAACAGTATATGCACAGTTGACTCATGAATCATTAAGATTTTTATGACACTGTGGAAGACAGAGGACAACTGAAGGCTGTAGACCATGGTACTCAAACAGGGAGAAGGGACAGTGAGATGGGGATTCATTGGCAAATGGGTGCGATGACATAGCCTAGTTCCATAATTAAAAATTTACTGAAACGTGTGAATATGACAAATATGGAAAAAAAAAAAGTCGGTAAGGGGGAAATACTTTTTCACAGCATTTATAAATAAGAGAGGCCATGGGACAGATCCCTGGTGGATTCCTCACCTTGTCCTTCTCCTCTGGCGTGATGTGATTTGAGGCCGACTTTATCTTCTCCAGTCGGGCTCTGTACCCAGAACACTCTGCTTTTAGCTCCTGGATCTCTGACACCATTTCCTCTGTTGTAAGGGAGCTGTTTAGCTCCTTCAGTTCTGTCATCACAGATTTCACACAAATTTACAGAACATCCCCTTTCAAACATATGCAGTAGAACAAAAACAACACGTGTAGAGAAAAGAGAAGTGGGGACAAGCCTCATCGTAAACCGTTTACTGTATCAAACAGCCACATCTTGTGGCTTAACAGTGCGCAAAATCTGAAAAGATAGTGTCAGTGATTAGCAGAAAATGTCACCTGCATCCAGCTGCCTGCAGCTCTGGGTAAGGGATTGCACCTCTTCACTGAGCTCTGAGATCTGATGGTCCATTGCCTTCAGGTCTGCATCGTTCACATCTTTGAACTGAGCCTGTGGGACAGATTGAGTTATTCCAGTTACTTATAAATTATATGTGCATAATATTCCAGACAAACAGACTAACCTGGTCAGCAAAATAAATCTTTTGCTTGCCATATATTTTCTCCTTTATCTTGCCTTCCAGGGCCAGCAGCTCCATGGCTTTGACCACTGCCTGTTGGAAGAAATGTGTAAAAAACACTTAGTTGTAGGCTATGAAAAACAGGTTAATTTTAGGCATCTAATTGTCTCATTGAAGTGTTAAACTCGCCGTTTTGCCCAGACCATGTTGCTTTTGTAAATTAGAGAAGACATCCTGAGCGCTATAGGGCCGGTTCTTCTCATTTAGGTAGGCAAGGATGACGCCCGCCCCTGTGAATGACAGCAGGACAAGTTTAACGTTTATCTAAACTTACCATAACATTACACTTAACTTATACTAGAAGTAGATTTTCATGATTATGTTAATATCTAATAGTGTAATATCGCTGGCCACAATCATCATCCTAATCTATTTTAATATAAATATGATTCCCCTCCTTAAAACAAGTATATCGTTTGGAAAAGTGGAAAAAGAATAAAAACACGGAGCTCGTCTCAGCTAACGCTAGCTTGTAGCCGTTTGGCTAAACGTTTCCTTTTATCTGTGACTTTTAACAATCGTCGTTCGCTCAGTGCAGGCGACTGACAAGCCATCTAACTTGTTATAGCCTAGAATATAAACTTTTTACCTACCGTTATCTTTTTTACTCATTTCCAACTACTCCACTTTAGCTTTCCAGATCCGAGTTTCGCGCAAAACGTACGTCACGGAAAAGATCGTTCATGCTAAAAGATGCAACACACCAGCACAAAATCCGTCTTCTGCCTTCGCGTTTGAGCGCCCCTCTGTTAATTCTGCCCCAAAAGTTATTAAGTATGACAGGTTGAAAGTATCTCAATGGTTCTTTTACTTAAATTATTTTATGTTTAGTAAACTTTATCTCCTTCTTCATTCCATGTCGTTAGCGATATCCCGAAAAAAAAGTAGAGTGACACCTCTTTTAATTTGGCTGTTCTCAGAAGCAGTCAATTCAGTCCAAAACCTAACCGGCCACTTCATTAGGTACACCTGTTCCCGAACGCAAATATTTATTCAGCTAATCACATGGTACCAACTCATACATGAAGACATGTGGACATGGTCGAGATGACCTTCTGACGTTCAAACAAAGCATCACAATGAGGGGAAAAAGGAGATTTGGATGACTTTGAACGTGGCATGGTTGTTGGTCTGAGAATCTTAGACACTGCTGACCTACTGGAATTTTCCCTCACAACCATATTTTGGGGTTTACTGAGAATGATCAGAAAAGAGTTGCTGCAGTTCTCTGGGTGAAAATGTCTCAATGTCAGAGGAGAATGACCAGGGTGCAATAAACAAGATATACAGAAGAGCATCTCTAAATGTTGAACTTTGAAGAAAGATGGGCTACAGAAGAAAATCTTACTGGGTATCTCATCAAATTAAAAGGTTAGAAAAACGTTGCCTGGTCTGGTGGGTCTCAATTTGTGCTGTAACATTCAGATGGTAGGATCAGAATTTGATCTAAACATTAAAACAAATGTTGGTGTTGGTGGTGATATCATGTGTGGCATATTTTCTAGGCACAGTTTGGGCTGCTTAACCCTAGAACACTATCGCAATAAATAGTAACACAATCACTACTGCCAGGTGATATTTACCCATTATATAATAAGATCAACAAAAAGTATGTCATCAAAATATATCAAAATATCACAACATGACAAACTAGTGTGGTCTTCTTTTATTTTCAACTGTGCCATGTCTAACAAAATGAAAACAAACGTGTCACGGGGGGACCCTAAAATAATGCTAGAAAACAGAAAAATTAGGAATTCAAGAACAAAAAAATTCCTAAACAAAAAAATAATGACACTGAAAAGCTGGTCTTTGGTCTACCCTTTCCTGGGACATTTGAGACTTCCCTGGTAAAGGCACAGTCTCCTCGACGTGCTAAAAGCTGCAGGAGAGAGAAATCATGTAAATGTATTTGCGCAGATGAAAATCACCCAGCAAAAGTGTTCTAGGGTTAATGCTGAGCATTGTTTAAATGCCACAGCCAACCTGTGTATTGTTAGTGACCATGTCTATCACCTTGTGACCACAATGGCAATGAGTCAAATGTACTTTAAATGGCCAACAGGACACCTTTGACATGTGACCAAATGTGACACAAAATGTTTTTATTATTCAAAGACTGCTTTAGAGAAATCAAATTCCCTTGCAGCTCTTTGAAGTCCACAGCTATGATGATCCATCTAAAACGGAATAAAACACAAATGTCAAATTAGGCCGTGACTGGTTTTCTAGTTGTTTCAGAGCTTTTCGGTATTAAATGAAGTACATCTGAATTGCCTTAAGAGCACCTTTGATAAACAAAGAGACAGTTAATTGCAAACATTTTATTTAATATGATTTGCACATCAAAACATATCAAAACCAGTTACACAGAAGGAAATACACTACTATGCACATTACATTACAAACAGCCTACAAATCCCTCATGATGAGGACTTCTCATAGAACAGCCTACAGAAACATTCTTGTTAACTGATATGGTCAAACCAAGTCCAACTAATTTAGTAACATTTATTTTCTGCAATTTCCCATCAGTTTACATTGTTCTATTTAAATTCTGAATCCAGCAGATTTTTTTTCCATACTGTGCTAAAATTGCAGCTACGATTTTCTTCTCAAAATAACACAATTGAAAACAGTGATGTTTTTTTCCTCTATTAAACAACCAGCATTTTAACTTTTCATATGTGCATTTCAGTAAATCTCACTTGTGGCTCATGGAAATTTCAAGTGCCATTTCCACTCTAAAACGCTATACAGACATGGTTTGTCCATGTATAGGAAATCAGGCCGACCAGCAAAAGCCACTATAAAATAACACTTAAAAAAGATATGAGGTTAACTTCCTATCCAAACTTGATGTAAACAAGGTCGCCTATTAAGATTGTAAAAGAGCCTTGAGAATATAATTTTCTCTCTTTAAAAAAAAAAAAAAAAAAAAAAAAAAAAAAAAGGTCAGTTTGAAGGTCAACCAGATAGAATACAAGAGTGGTAAGACATAAAGAGACTATTTTAAATTTTTTCTTTAAAAAAACAAACAAAAAACTGAATCGCAAACAAACCCGAGGGCTCATTCCAGGTATTTAACATGCACACAAGGTAATTGAGCCATTTAAAGGGCAGGAAAATGGAAAAAAAAAATAAATCAGAAATTACTCACACGCGAAAAAGAAGCATGTTCTGATGTGAGGAACAAATTCATTAACACAAATGTAACAGAGCTACTTTGGGCCACATAAGACTATTGTGACAAAATAAACTTTGAATGCGTTCCTGTTAGTCAAGAGAAAAGGAAAATAGAAAATGTTGTACTTTATCCAGATATCATTCACCTTCATTGAAGAACATAATCACTGACTAAATATGCAACTGCTGTCAAGTGTTTAAATTGTCTAAATGATTCTCTAAATGAATTCGATGGTGCACCATCAAATTAATCCTCTTCCATCAGATCGTGTTAAAGACAGCCGAGTATCAACATGAACATGAGCTACTACTTATTGAAGGGCTGATACATCCAAATACTGCAATGCCTAAATAAGCTTTTATATAAAAGGCTGTTGCACAATATCAGTACTAAAACATGGCTCAGCTCAACCAAGAGGAATGTCACATTTGGTCCTGTGTTAATAGCCCTGTATGTCTAGACCTCGGTGTAGAAAAGATCTGATGGCCTCTGGCTTTCATTTGAAGTCAACAAGTACTTGTACCTTGTAACTGAGTGGTGTGTAAAGTTACAAGACTGCAAAAAGGCTCAATAATGCTGGTATATTTAATGTTTGAATGTGTTTTATGTATGTTATTGTGTTACCTATTGCTCAGCCTACGAAGTAAAAGTTTTCTGGATGATCACATTTTCAAACTACAGCAAAGAGAGTCTGAAAAGATAGAAAATATGAAATACTTCACAGTGATAAACTGATGCTAATCAGGAGCAGGGGTGCTGGAACCTAAAATCATCTCCCACACACATTCTCATACTTTATCAACACACATTCAAGCTGTGCACACACAGACACACACACCTTACTGTGGTTTACCAAGCAGGCTAGACAAAAAGTTAGACCCCTGGCTCTCTCCCCGTCTAGAACCTGCACCTTCACCGAAGGGATCCAGCTGGTTTAGTTCAGACTGATCCAGCATCTCAAAGTCTTCTCCATCCAAGTCCGTGTCTAGCTCAGAGCTGGACTGCTTGCGATAGCTTCGGTGGGCCCCGGCCCTGGGGGGACCTTCTCTGCGTTGGGCAGCAGGAGGCCGTGGTTGCAGTGCCCCGGCTATTGCTGCCTGGATCATGTTGCTGGCAATGACTCCAGCTAAGTCTCCAGTGATATTAGAGGCAGGTGGCAGGCTGCTAAGAGAAAGTTCAGCATCTAGATCCTCTTGGTCTGAGTCAAGATGAGATTCCACATCCAGCACTGAAGCCCGGTGACTAGCTAGCCCAGACAGACCCAGGCTAGGCAGTCCAATGCTCGTGTCATCATCATCATCCATCAGAGTGGCATCAGGGTTTATGGAGGGGAAGTCTGGGAGGTCCTGGGCAAAGGATTCTTCAGCATCACTATGCCTGTCAAAATCTGGCCAGAATACAGACAGGGAGAAGATCAGAAGCATGAACTAACCAGGAAATCGAGGTAAGAAGTCCGTCTTTTTTGTATACATACCCTCAGAGCCTTCAGTCAGTGGGGTCTGGCCACGTGACAGGTTAAATGTTCCATTGTCAGTATAAGAAACCTCAGCATCAGAATGCTCGGAGTCGGTCAGTGCAAGCTCCTTCGCAACAACAGCATCATCAAACTAGGAGACAAAATGAAATGGTTTAGGCTGTGCTGTGGTGCATTTTTTTAAGATGGCAGTCAAGCTGGTAACTCCGACTCTGACATAAACAGAGAAACATTCTTAGTTTGACTCTCTGCTTGTTTCTCATCCTTTTACCGTCTGCAGGCTTTGCCACAAACACACATTAAGACAAAAATAAACAGGTACATTTTGTGACGTTCCTAACCACAACAGGAAATGGTGCTGACGTGCTGCTGTAGCTAACAGTGTGCTGAAAAAGCAATAGGTGCAGTGAATGTTTCATCTTTCGTTTCATTTTATAACCTTGTAACCAACACTGTTGACTAACAACAACTCATGTTCACTAAAAAAAAAAAAAAAAAAAAAAAACCTGGACAGACTTTAAATTTTAATTTATAGAATTGTAAAGACTAAGATTTTTTCACAAATTCACATTACTCATTATGAACACTTTAAATATAAAAGTTTACTTCTGCTTTAGGAAGCATTTTGTGTATGTTGACATAATTACTAGATCACAATATGAACAAAAACAAAAACTATATTTGAAGACAAATTTCAGGAATGATGTCCCCGACTTTAAACAATAGAAAGGCAGGCATAGTGAGTAACAGTTTGATTAAAATATCAAGAGCTTTAGAAGTGCAACAGCCTTACTGTTGGGCAAAAAGCGGCCAACTCCTCCTCACTGTCACTGGCTTCACCCGAGGCTGCACCATGTAGAGGTCTTCGTAGGACTGCAGAGCGGAGTGACCAAGACAACAAATAATTACTGAGTCCAGCTTATTTTAACTGTAGTAGTTAAATACACAGTGTGCAGGACAACCAGTTTTAGAAATGGTTTGTAAAATTAGAACTGATTAACAGATTAATCAACAAACAAAGAAAAAAAAACAACACTTTACATCACTATCTCTACTCTGATATTTGCACTTTGGTCTCATTTACTGGAGTGGAAATTGTCTTAACAACAGTTTCATCTCAAACGAATAAATTTACATAAAATCCAGTTAGCTGCCAATTCTAGTAAAAATATACACGATACAATTTGGTTTACAACTTACACTGATTGTCAATGGGCTTTAACATCATGTATCCACGAACGCTGAAGTCCAGTCGCTGCAGGACTGGCTCCAGCTTGATGCCAAGATGCTGGAAAAGCTTGTGATAGGCTGCCAGAGGAGTCAGGAGAGTAGCTAACACTAGAGGAGGGGCAGAGAGAATACTAGTTAAGATAGAGAAGAGGGACATTTCTATTAAAGTGCAGTATTTCACTACAGAAAGATAGCCTGTTGACTTTTTTTTGTGATAAAGAAAAACTGAGGGACAGGGAATAGAGGTTTAATATGTAGAGTACAAGCTGATGTTTGGATTGTTTCAGACGTCAGACGTCCTCCTTGCCCAGCTTTGCAGCCTACTGGTTGAAGGTTAGGAGATTAGCTTGGTCTCTGTCTGACCTCCTTAGCTTTCTGCCTGGCTCTTTCACTCCTGCCTGGTCTGCCTCATCCACATTTTAATCACCTCACAGATCAGGCCCCGGTACTGAGCCCCCACAGATCTGGTTTCCCCACCCATGCACTTTTAATTAGACTAGTCAGGCAGAGTTTCTTTGCCAACATAGTTCTGTGAAGAGGCGTGGGTTTTTAATTAGAACTGGATAAACTGCTCGGACTCACAAGCAGAGTAGGAGAGCACTAATCCAGGAATGTAGCGTCCAATGATAGCCAAACAGCTGAACACTCCACAGGTCAGGATGCAAAACTGTCACAGAAGAGCCGGAAAAACAAAAACAAACAAACAAAAAACAAGCAAACAAACAAAAAACACACACACAAACAGAAAATAGTCAACAACACCATCACGTGTTGCCCATGGTGCACTTATCCACAGCTACAGTCACACTAGGGAAAACAGGAGACCGTATCACGACTAAAAGTATTCCAACCCCGTGCAATGAACATGTGGAATCTCTTCGAAATGGTAACTTTAAAGATGGCGAGCAGGACAATGACAAATCAGTCAGTTGCAGTCTTTAAAGTGACAATGATAAAACAGCAATAACTGTGATTTAACTGGACAAAGATAGCTGCTCAGTAACTGATATTATACAGGAATATAACAAGAAAACAAGCAGCTGACTAGAATGATCTATTGCAAAGATAATCGTCACATATAAGTTGTGTCCATCATTACAGACTAGGGCTGCCACGATTAGTTGACTAGTCACGATTACGTCGACTATTAAAATTGTCGATGACTAATTTAATAGTCGACGCGTCGTTTGAAGCTTTGTAAGATCACAAAAGACGCAGGAATAAGTAGTAGAATTTAAGAGTGTAATAACGGACTGAAACAGAAGATGGCAGCCCTGCATGTACAAGGATGCCAGCTGCCGTTAAACCCCGAAGAAGAAGAAGTAGCTCCGTCCCAGAATTCATAGCGCGGCCCAGCTCTGTTGTCAACAATGGCGGCAGCTAGTTAGTTTTTATATTACTCTTATTATTCTTTCTGGGTCACAAAATAAACGTTTAACATATTTTCAGGCGAGAATGTAGCTGTGTAAACCTCAAATATCTGCTCAGTTTATCAGGACACCACATATTTTCAAAAGCGCTCCGATGTTTTGCGCTCTGACGAGGGGTAACAGACGTCTCACCAGCTCGATAGCTATCCGGAGGCAAGGCTCACTAGAGCCCGTGAGAACACCGGACTCCCGGCAAATCGTTTTCAAACCCACCGCCGTCACTTAGCTTAAAATGTTATTGTTTGGCTTTTTTTTAGTATTTTATTTGTTCCTGTGTAAATCGGTTTGGCTGAGATTAAAGTTATAGTTTTTACACAGCTGAATAAACATCAAGCAGACAGCTGATTATCAGAAGTGTGAGATGCTCAAGAATTTACTCTGGTGTCCTGTTATATTTTAGATAGCAAGGAGTTTATTAAACTTCATCGAAACAATCTGCAAATTTCATTAAACTTTAATAAACT